TTTAAGGTATGTACATACATATGTAAATTACTTAACTTGTGCATTTTAATTGATTTTCTCGTTATTACAGATTTGCAACAATTAAAATTAAAACCCACCATCATCTTTAATGCCGTCACCAGCTGATATCGCACGCCCCTCCTCCATCACCTTTAATGCCACCACCAACATCGTACCATCACCTTCAACACCGGTACCAGAAGTATCGCCACCATCATCATTCAACACCGGCACCAGCAAAATCGCACCATCAACATTCCACGCCTCTACCAGCAAAATCACCTTCAACATCGCCACTATTACTTTAAGGCCACCACCAACATCACCTTCAACGCCTGCACCAGCAATGTTATACACATCCACATCAATGGTCCTCTGCAATAACTACAAAATTCAAAATTCAAAAAATAAAAACTGTTACTACTGTTATGTCGCTCTTTTCTGTAATCCTCGTCTAATCCATTTCCAACCTTTTATAAAGTAAGCAGTAAGGATTGCTAAAGTAAGTGCTAAATATTAGACATGGATTCGACATGGATTAGATAGATATATGAGCCAATTAACAGTAGTAAGGGTTTTGTTTTTTGAATTTTGAATTGTGTCGTTATTGCACAGGACCATCGATATGTACAAAGTATGTTATTTGTTTGCACATATGTACTATAAGAGTTTTGTATTAATAAACGTTTTTTAAATAAACCAATTCATTTTTAAAAGTAAAAATTTTGATTTTCTACTTATTTGTTTTTTCCTGTACTCAATAATGATGCAAAGTCGACGGCAACGGCAACGGGAACATAAAATGAAATTTGAAATATCTATAAAATTATACAATTTTTTTTATCAAATGTGACATTTTTCGACAAAGCCTACTGTCATAAAAACTGCCATATTTCTATCTCGCTTTAACGCACAGAATTCCTATAAAAGTGGGAATTCCGCTCTAACAAATGAAAAATGTTTCACATTTCGAATACCAAATTTGTAAATGTGTGCGTGATAGCTAAAAAGTTGCGAAAGTGTGTGTAACGCTGTCGAATTTGAGGGGAAACTGCTCAGCCATGGCTTGCAGGGTTGGGATATACTTTAACTACACGTATGCATGTATGTAATTTACTAGTGAACCCGCATGGCGTTAAGACGTCAAAATTGAGTTTAACATTTTAAACAGATGGCAACACTATTCACAAACCTTAATAAATATTGCAATTGTTTCAAGTAAATTCGTCCATCCCTTTTTGAACGAAGAGATGTCTCACATGGTTTTTCATTTCCTCAAAATTCATACCACCCTGCACCGTTAAAAAAAGTCGTAAATTCAAAAAATAAAACCTTAATGCACATTTAGAATGATGGTGCTGATTTGATGACCTTCACATAAAAGATCTGATGACCATAACAAAAAAAATATTTATTTATAAAAATTAACTCAAACTAATTTTTTCGGTATATTATGAGTTTATTCGAAAGACCATATATTCCCATTAGTTATGGAACCAGATTTCATCATGTGACTGTTTTCGCAGTAGCGCATTCTGTTAGCCCAGTTCTCCAAGACCTTGGTGACGGTTTCTGGCTCTATCGCAAGAAATGCCCGACATACGCCTTAAGGGCCTGAATCGTTAATAGATTGTTCGCAATATATCGGTCCTTTACGGCATGGCACAAAAAAGTCTAAGGGCGTGAAATCGCGGCTCCGAGGGGGTCAATTGTCTTCACCGAGACAGTTGATAACACAATTACCGAACTTCATCGCTCAAAATAAAAATCGAATAGATGGCAACCCTAACAAAAAATATTTTCAAACTAAAGTTTTATTAAAACTCTTTCTTTTGCCACTCATATTTTAATATTTCATTAAAATTGTGTTAAAGATAAAAAAATTAGGCTTTTCAAACAGGTGGCAACCCTCTGCGAAGCATTTTCAACTTGAAATCTTTTAAAGCTCTTTCGTCTGATACTTTGATACATAATTCAATTACCTGAAGAATTAAATTTTTTTTGTCACCTGGCAACCCTCCTAAACAGTTCAGATATAAAGCCTTCTCAAACCCATGAACGATTAAATCACCTCTTTTAGTAATTTATTCAACTTAATAATTCATTTAAATTTAAAATGTTCAATAGCTGGCAACTCTCTTTAAACCATCAAACAAAATTTTAATGTTTAAACTGAAGATTTCTTAGCAGTCTTTCGTTAAACACCCATATTTTAATACTGCATATAACATGGTGTTAACTAAATTCGGCTTTTAAAGCAGGTGGCAACCCTTTCCAAAACGTTTTCAAATTGCTACCATTTTAAACCCTTTAGTCTGGACCCCAGTGGGGGAACATTTTTAAATTACCTATGTAATTTCCCTGTTTAAAATTTAATTTGATTTTTAAACAGGGGCAACACTCGCACAGTTAAGTTAAGAAGCAAATCTGTTAATCAGGGATGTTGCGAATGTGAAATTTTATAGGCCGTTTATGCTGAACGTTAAAGCTGCATTTAGCACATTTAGCTCTAATGCTACTCTAAATTTACATTTACTCATACAAAATTCTCTACCTAAATGCAACTAAATGCTATATATTTTTGGCATTAAGAATCTAAATGCCGAATGCAACTCTGTAATCTTCGAAAAAACACCACGATTCGAAGAAGGTGTAGTGAAAAAGAGTGGCAGCATCGCTTGTTTGTGTATACATACTGTGAGGACTAAATGTTCAACAAGAAATTTAGCCCACACAAGCAATACGACACCGCACAACAGCCAGTCAAGCAACACAACTCATAGCAACACAACTCGTAGCAACACCCGACAGCATCTTTGTGACCATGACAACGAAACATCACACAGCAACATGTGGCTGCACGACCACGCAACATCAAGCACGCAGCCCATAAAATATAGAGCACAGCCAGAAAACAGTCAGTCAGCACGGAGCTGTGGTCGCGAGTGAACGACTACAATTGAAGGGAGCGATAGCTTGTGAGTGGTACGCACACACCACAAGACATCACCTTTCAAAGGTAGAAAACCATATTTCGTAGTGAGAACTACCGCTGAATGGAGCGATTGCTTGTGAGTGGTACACACACACCACAAGACATCACCACTCAGAGTAGTGATCATTAAAAACGGTTCCGATCACCGCTCGCCACTGTCTACCGCGAAGCCGCGTGCGAACGACATCCGCTCGTTCGCCATCAACAGCGCACGCCAAGGGTGCCAGAAAGAGCGCTACTCGTCGCCGTCAACGGCGCAACGCCAAGCGCGTCCGCAAGAGCGCTACTCGTCGCCGTCAACGGGGCAACGCCAAGCGCGTCCGCAAGAGCGCTACTCGTCGCCGTCAACAGCGCAGCGCCAAGCGTGCCAACAAGAGCGCTACTTACAGTCGCCAGCAGAGCCCCACTCATAAGGGCATTACTCATCGGCGTTAACCGAGCGCCTCTCATCAGCGCGTCCAAGAGCGCCACCAGAGCGCTACTCATCGGCGTTATCAAAGCGCCACTCACCGGCACGACCAGAGCGCAACTCACATTGTAGGAGAGCTATATACCGACGCGGCCAGAGCACCGCTTACCGACGTTTGCAGCGCGCCACTCAGCGGCGTCAGCAGAGCGCTGCTCACCAGAACTGAAACCACGCCACTACCGCCTAACGGGCCCCTAACGGGACAAGAAGCCGTTACCCAGCCACTGCAAGTGACGCCACCAAATTTTGCCAAGTGTTATTTGTTATATGTTCTTTATAGAAATTAAGAAAATTAAATTAATAAAGTGCGATTTACCAGAGCCCCGAAACTACAAATTTATTGTAACGAACCCTGGACACGGCGAGTATACCCCAGCATTGTAGAAGAAGCGGCGGGGCGAATAAAACGCTTCGTTACAATACATACTTATTTGTTTACATTCTGTTTTGCGTATACGTACATAAATTGTGATATTTGTGCCGTAATTTGCTTCATTTCATTTCATTAAAATTTCTTTGTGATTTCAATTAAATAAATAAGAAAAATTTATTAGAAATATGAAGCGAACGAGATGTCCATGGACCGCAGCAGCAGAGGAGGTGTTTGTGGAGTTGTGGCAGCAAAAAGTGGATGATTTGAGGGGGGCCTAGGAAAAACAGCCATGTTTACCAAGAGATGGCGGCTGAAATGCAGATGCACGGCTATAATGTCAACTCCTCATCAGTTAAAATAAATATTGACAATCTGACGGCGAAATATAGGTAACATTAATCCTTTCAAGAAAGAATAAAATACTTCTTTGTACGCATTTTTCATAGAAGGGCCAAGACAGCTATGGGAACAACAGGAGGCTCTCCTGCATCATGGCCTTTGCACCAAATAATTGGTGGCTTCTCAATAAATAATGTAGAGGTTCTAATTGAAGAAAGTTTTGAAGGTAAGTGTCGATGGAAGACATTCAAATACTTTGCTTTTGATGCAAAACTATTTATTACATTTTATCTCAATCTATGTGCATAAATTCTAAAAATTCATTTTCAGTTTCAGAGTCACCAACCCATCTCTCATCGCTGCCGCCATCTCTGACCCAGATATCGCCATCACCATTGCCGTCTACTTCGTCCTCAGCATCCGACAAATCTAGAAGAAAAAAACAAATGGATCGGTTAGTGACGGTCTGCGAAAGCCTCCAGACCAATTTTTCGGAAGCTATGGATAAATTTCCCAAATCAAATGAAGAATTGGTGGAACTTGAAAAAGCAAAACTGATGGCAATGCAGGAGCTGCAGAAAGACGCGAAAAGATTGACGGATGGTGTTTTAGATTTTTTAAATAGATTTTAAGGAATAGTATGTAATGTCTTGTGAATTTAATAATTTTTTTTACACATTTAATAGATTATAAGGAAATAGTATGTAAGATCTAATGAAGTGAACTGTTTTTTTTATAGATTTAAGAATTACTCTTTAAGAAAATGGAATCAAATATGTTGTGATTTTTTTTTTTATGTTAAGAAAGTAGTATCTTAGATCTTGTGATATGAACTTTTTTGTTTTCAATGTAATATACATACATATGTATGTATATTTCCTTTTTTGATTGAAATTTTTTATTTTATAAAACGAATGAAGGCTCTTTGGCTTTATATTAAGATGAAAAANTCCAAACACCAGTAGGGAACGAATTTTTTACATTTTAACGCTAATGACCCACAGATGGCGGGAAAACACAGGGTTGTATCAGACTTTCGACGTGGTTTCGAGTTGATTAGCTTTTAACCATCTCAGTGAAATGGTTAAGTGCTGTCATTTTTATATGGCGAAACAACGCTAGATCAAGTGGGTTATCGGGATAACCAACTCAACAGCCATAACTTTGTGGTTAAGCTCTGGTGGGGACATGGTATTAGGCTTTGGTGCAAATCCGCGGATTGTGGTTGCCTTCTACTGCTGTCGTTAGCGTTCTGCTCAGTTAGCCAAGAAAGTGAAACTTGGTCATTTTCCGCTATCAGAAAGTTGTGCAAGGCACAACAAGTTTTTATAATGGAATTCGCATTATCAATTCTGTTATCAATGCCTTTTCCAATTCGACGAAACCTATAATTGTACATACACATGCAAGTAGGTTATTCTTTTAAGTGTTTTTTAAGTGTTTTTATTTAAAATCCACTTTTATGTTGCTTAATTACCTTGCTTTCAATTGTCCAAAAGCATTTTCAACGACTCTACGTGATTTCGAAAGTTGATAATTGAAAGTTTTTTGCGCTGGTGTTTTATCCAAACTGAATGGAAAAGGTTTCATTAGATATTTGGAAAAACGAAAAGCGGAGTCTCCAAGAATGACAACTGGTATATCAAAGTTTCCTAATTTTGTGCTCATTGAGTACAGAAGCGAACATTTCTCTAGCTCTCTCTTTAAGCTGGACTTTTCAAAGATTTGGGAATCATTGCATCGTCCGGGACTGCCAACGTTTATATACAGAAAACGATATCTTAAAAAGAAACGAAAAAATATATGCAACAAGAGCTTGTAAAACTGTCGAATACCATCCTTTATAGTTGATATAATCTACTGCTTCTTCCGTTCTAGGTCGAATTTCTATGTGGCAACCATCTTAAAAATATTATATGTAGCTGTTTATACACAGTTTTACAATTTTAAGAAAAGCTTACCAAGCGTTCCCAAACATTGAGGGAATCCAATGCTTTTAAAACCATCAACACACTCTTCAATGGTCTTTCTACTTAGCGGAAAGTAGTTGAAATACCCTGGGTGCAATACTTTCCATACTTCCTTACAAAATTCCGAAAGAATTGTGCATACTGTCGATTTTCCCACTCCAAATAAGTTCGCAATACTGCGATACTCCGCTGATGACCCAAGTGCATAAAGTGCAATAGCCACCCGTTTCTCCAAGCATATAGAATTCTGGAAGTTGGTTTCTTTCTTTTTAATGTGATCCAGAAAGCTACACAATTTCTGGAAAGCCCGTCGTTTCAATCTAAAGTTATGCTTGAAGAAATCATCTCCGCAGCATTGACACTCGACTTCCCAAAACGTGCTAGCTCGATTCTGGAAAATTAAGTACATATATACGTAAATATACATAAAGCATATACTTTATTGTTTTGATACCTCTTGCCTCGCACAAGTTCTTTCGTTAGTAGAAAGTTCCAAGTGGATGTACTCCCAAATGACAACTTGCACGTTTTTATACAAGAACAGAATTTCCATAATACTAGCGCGCCTTTTTCTTATTTCACTGATGGATGCATTTGTCTCTTCAATTTTGGCATAATTGAGGGTCATAGACACAAATAACTTAACCACAAATAATATAAATTTCAATCGACGCATTTTAATTTATTTTCTCTGCAAATAGTATAGTTTTATTATGCCAAAACATACATATGTATGTATGTATACCGGTTTTCGAACTCGCGTAAATGTACATTTACTAAATGCGGCACCGTGAACACTCTTCGAAAAACCAATGTTCGAAATTGCTAAATGTGCTTTTAAATCTCAGCATGAACTCTGCATTAGACATCCGCGGATGCGGATGCTAATGCGGATGTCAAGTATTTTTGATAAATAATTTAGGTGAGTACATTAGGTGATTTAGGTAAATAAAAAATGTAAAAGTTAGTATTTTTTAATAATGTTTTTTTATACCTTTCATGAGCATGAAATGGTATTATAACTTTGGTCCAATGTTTGTAAGTACCAGAACAAAAAGAGATAGACCCATTAAAATGTATACTTATATGATCAGAACGTCGAGCTGAGTTGATTTATCCATGTCCGTCTGTCCGTCTGTCCGTCTGTCCTTCTGTCTGTCTGTCCGTCTGTTTGTATGCAATCTAGTCTCTCAGTTTTCGAGATATCCGGATCAAATTTGGTAGGTGGGTGTATTTTTATAATGTATTAATCATTTGTCGGAACCGGAAGAATCGGACCACTATAACATATAGCTCCCATACAACTGATTGTTCAGATATGAGATTTTTCGTTATAACTTCTCCATTTATGCAGCTACGAACATGAAATTTTGCAGAACTTGCACCCATTATCAACAGAATGCTTACAGTGAAAATTACAAAGATCGGTTTACTATAACCTATAGCTCCCATACAACTGATTGTTCAGATATAAAATTTTTCGTTATAACTCCTCCATTTATATAGCTGGGAACAGGAAATTCCGCACTGTTTTCAATAATTATCAATAGAAAACTTACAGTGAAAATTAAAAAGATCGGATAACTATAACCTATAGCTCCCATACAACTGATTGTTCAGATATGAGATTTTTCGTTATAATTCACCATTTATGTAGCTAGGACCATGAAATTTCGCGCTGTTTTCACTCATTATCAGCAGAAGACTTACAGTGAAAATAACGAAGATCGGGTCACTATAACCTGCAGCCCCCATACAACTGATTGTTCAGTTATGAGGTCTTTTATCATATCTCCTCCATTTATGCAGCTAGGAACATGAAATTTCGCACCATTTTCGCATATCTTCCATACCTCTGATTGTTTAGAAGCGATTTTTTATATAAGTATGTAACTCCTCTATCGATGTATGCAGATGTATTCAAAATCAGTAATCTGTCAAATAAAATTTGCAGAGTTCATGAAAGGTATGAAGCCTTCGGCATAGCCGAAGACAGCGCTGCTCTTACTTGTTTTTTTTTTTTTATTTAGTACTTGAATTTAAAAATTGGAACTTTGTATTCAATAAAGAGTAATTTTGCTGCCTTTTCGGGTTACAGCCTGTTTCTTAACGGGTCGTAAATCAAACCTGCCCCACTAAATAACTACTCGCTCGAGGCGGCAAAATTGAAAAACTTGAAACTTGACAAAATTGTAAATTCTTTTCGATTGACGCTGCACCAGTTGAGAAGACTTTCAGTTATATTTATTTTTTTATTGCGGTGCAATATTTTTTTTTGACAATTGCATCGGGGCTGCAAATGCCGGATGTATACTCCTGACTTTCATCTTCACAATCTAGCATCATGGCAAGATCGTTGTTTAAAAACCGTTGTTTTCCAATTTGGAGAACCAATTCTCTTTGTTGTTTCAGATTTACGACATCAGCGTTTATCGATTTTAGTTTTTGTAATTCATTTTTAATCCTGTCTTCTGTGACTGTTTTGAAAAAATTTGTGCTTATAGCGAGGTTCTAAATAGGTGGATATGGCAAATAAATTGTTTTTTTCTAGGAATGGAAACTTCGAAGAAAATTCTGTTTTGAAAGTCGTGCCTGTCAGCTGAATTAGTTTAAAATTTTGTTATTTTGTTAAAAAGAGGCATCTCGTATTTTATAATAATTTGAATTATTGGAATCACGGACGATGAAGGCCTCAGATCTGCTTAGTTCCCGGGTGACTTCTTGGAAAGGATCACCTGTAATTAATAGCTTGTAGTTACTTTCTTTATTAGCTGAGCTTGAGTTTTCCTAGTTGCAGGCAGTCACAATTAATTACTCACCGCTGTCAGTACCATAAGCCATTAGATCCGTTTTGTTATTCCATTCCATGGCGTCAATGTGCTTTGATATTTTGAGGTGAATGAACGCAAATTTTCAACATATCGTTAATATAGTATGGAAAGGGCGTATATCACATTGTCGCATAAAACGATGTGGGGACTTATGATTTGATGAAATGCATCATAAAGTGAAATTTGGATTTTCAGTTAGTTACGGCTTTTTGTATTTCAGCGACGATGTCAGTTACGCCCCTTCCATACTATACTAAGGAAATATTGCATGCCAAGTCCCACTCTTCAATAGATATTAAATTCGCCTTGAATTAATTCTTATTTGATTTGTGAACTTGGCTGTCAAGTTATTCACATATCATTTTATCTTTATTTCGTTGCGTGCTAATTTTGATCATTATCACAAAATTAAAATAAAGTGATTGTTTTCGAGCTGAAAGACTAATTACTAGGGCAACCCAAAATATGCTCCTAAAAACAAATTTTAAGCGCCTAAAATATGCCAATAAATTCTAAATATATGCTCCACAAAATGCTTTTAAAATCTTTATAAGCCATAAGATATGCTTTTAAATTTCATTTATGTAGTATGTGCATGCACAAAAATACCTTTAACTTTATTTGCAGTACCTAAAATGTTCTAAATTTCATAGAAGTGTATATACATAAATATTTATGTTTAATAATTCATATTTATTCAATTTGTTTTTAAAACATACTATGTATGAAAGTACATGGAATCTAATTCACAAATTGCTTCGCATAGGAATTCATACTGTGCATGTTTGTAGATACATATGTACCCTGCAGCGGAAAGTACTAGTCGGGAGTTTTGGAGTGAAACCAATGCTTCCTGCTGTCGCATTTAACATGGAGTTGTCCTAGGAGGTGACAATTGCCTCCTTCTACGTAACTTTGCCCTGGTAGTTGTAGTAGTATCACGTAGCCTGTAACCAAACCACGTTTTGTATCTCGCTGCGTAACCTGGTACTAGTAATAAGAAAGGTTTCCATAACAAAACACAGTTACTTGCGTTTGATGAAATCTTTGTTAACTGCTTGCCAATCAAAATTATAACGGCGCGCCATGGCGGGTCAGCGTCGGGACAACTCATCTGTCAAGAGCGAAACTTATAAATATGTAGTATACCTATCTCACACATAAAAAACTTAATATAAACACGATGTGAACGTGCACTTTGATTTCATTTTCGACACAATTATTTCAGAAATTTTCATTATTAGTTCTAAACCTAACAACGCAGCACAAAGTATCCGAAAATATGCATGTACTGCACAATATGCTGAAATATGCATTTATTGCAAAATATGCTCCAAGAAATATGTCTCGAACTTTATATTTTTTGGAAAAACGTTTACGCATTTCATCAGCGTGTTGCTAACACGCCTAACAAAAAGCATGCCCGAACATATTTTTGGTTGCCCTACTAATTACACTTATAATTCTTACCTAATTAAAGGTCATCTTTTAACGCGTAAATAGTCGATTCTCTTTATAGTCCGACGTTGAACACTTCCGCTGGAAATACCTATTGAAGGATCTTACTCTTTGACTTTAAATCACAAAATAAGGGGGACGTCAGAGGACAGTTTTAACGTAGCATATCCACAGGCAAAACATTTTGGCTACAATTTGTCTACTTGCACAATATTCGCATTCGCAAAAGCTCCGCATTGATTATTGCGAATGCGAAAGCGAATGCGAATCTTAAAATTAATGCGGAAGCTCCGCGGTTGCGAATGCGAATGCGAATATTCGCAACAACCCTGCTTTTAATAACCATTTTGACTGATATCTATTTTTTAATAAATGATTTAGTTTTTGTAATAATTTGGATTTAATTTTTTAAAGGTAGCAACTCTTTTCAAAAAGTAAAACCTCATTGCACATCTGCAACCAAGCCTTTTAATTTGCTCATTGTTGAAAATCGAGCGAAGGGTGGGGATATGATGGTACTGATTTATAAATAATCTCAACTTGATTTTTTAAAAAGTGGACATTCTTTTCGGAAAAGTAAAAGCCTACTGCACATCTACAAATCAAGTCCTTTAATTTGATACCTCATTTTTGAAAATCAAACGAATGATTCAGATCTGATGACCTGGACAAAAAGTCCTTTCGCGTATTATATATATAGATATAGTTAAATTCGACTTTTTAAACAGGTGGCAGCCCTTTTTAAAAGTAGTTTCGCGCTAAGATATTCTCATTAACTGATGAATATTTTAATTAACTGATGAATTAAGTTGAATTATATTAATTAAACATGTGGAAACTCCGCTAAATATAGTTCAGAAATAAAGATTTTTCAACACCCATTCGATTGATACCCATGTTTTAATAATTACTTTATCATATTTAATAATTTGAATTTAATTTTTAAACAGGTGGCAACCCACTTCCAACACCTCAAAAATATTTTGTGTGTTCAAACTAAAGTCTTCATGATATTCTTTCGTTTGACAACATTATTTTGACATTTCATATAACTTTTGGATAAGTTAATTAAATTCGACATTGCAAGCAGGCGGAAACCCTCTTCAAAATATTTTCAAACGGCTACCTTCTGAAGCCCCTTTCGTTAGGCACCCATATGTTGAAACATATTTCTCCTAATTAAATAATTAATTCAAATTGAATTTAATTTTTTTTACCAGGTGGCAACCATCCTAAAGTTAAGTTAAGAAACAAATATTTTCAAAACCATTTCCACTGATACCCATTTCGTAACAATTGATTTTTCAGATAATTTGAATGTAATTTTTTAAAAGGTGGCAACTCTTTTCAAAATAGTAAAACCTTATTGCATATCTGCAGTCCAGGAGTTTTAATTTGACACCTTATTTTGGAAAATCAAACGAACGGTGGTGTTATGACGGCATTGCTTATTAAATAATATATATTCAATTGTTGTACAGGTGGCCACTCTGTTCAAAAAAATAAAACCAGTTTGCACATCTACAGGCCAAGAGCTTTAATTTGACACCCCAGTTTTGAATATATAATTCAAATTATATATAGATTTGAACTTAAATTTTTAAAAGGTGGCAACGCTTTTCGAAAAAGTTAAACCTTATTGCACACCTAAAGTCAGAGCCATTTGATTTGACATCTCACTTTTGAAAATCGAACGAACGGTGTGGATCTGATGGCATTGATTATTAAATTATTTGAATGCAATTTTTTATCAGGTGGCAACTCTTATTGAAAAAGTAAAACCTTATTGCACATCTACAGACCAAGCGCTTTAATTTGACATCTCATATTTGAAAATCGGGCGAACGGTACAGATCTTTTATGCTGCACAAAAAATGCCTTCGCGTATTATATATCAAATAAAACCCCTCTTTGAGGTAAAATTTTCGAGTGACGAAGGCAGAACTAGAAACACAAAATTTATGATATCAATTTCGTGACGAAAATTATACGCATTTTTTAACTGCCTTTGAAATGTACGGAAAATCTTTTTTATTCATACGAATCGTTGCAAAAGTTCTGTTTCTTAATTTGTGTTTCTAGCAGTAGATGGAATTTCGGAACGTTCCGAATAAATAAAAAAAGATTTTCTGTACGTTTCAAAGGCAGTTAAAAAATGCGTATAATTTTCGTCACGAAATTGATATCATAAATTTTGTGTTTCTATTTCTGCTTTCGTCACTCGAAATTTTTACCTCAATGAGGTGTTTTATTTGATATCAATTATTTTGGGGTAGCAAATTTAAAATCGAAGAAAATACAAACAATAATCTAAATGTTTTATTTTTCTCAAATAAATTGCTAAAAATATTATCTAAATCTAAATTATGTATTCAAATCGATTTGTCCATTGAAACATATAATTTTTCGAATACGGAATAAAGCGAAAAAGAATGATCATATCCTCTATGAGGTGGGTTTTATCGAAGGCTGAGGTAGCTCAGCCGCTCCAGGGTTGAGTGGAGGTCCCACTAACCCCCACTGAATAAAATAAACACAGTAGTTAAATATAGCGAACACAACCACACACACACGCGGCCGTTCGGCCAGGCTGCCGGTACCCTGACGTTCACGAAGAGAGGGGAGAGAGAGGGAGCGACTAACTGGTCGGCGGTCGGCGTCGGGACTGTCTAGTGGCTAGTGACGGTGGCGGTGATGTTGAGGGCGGTGACGGTGAGAGCGGTGATGGTTCGGTGAATAATGACAGTGAGAGCGGCAATGGTTCGGTGAGAGCGGTAGCGAGCGTGATGATGGGTACTGCAGCCAATGAGAGCGACGATTGCTGATCGTGATGGCAGTAGCAGTCCCTTAGTAGTGACGGCCCTGCGGTGATGTTGACGGTGGCCCAAATAGTGGTGAGGGCGGTAGCGACCTCCCGTAGTGAGAGCAGTATTGGCGGCCCTAGTTATAACAACGGGCCTCTGATGAGTAACGGCGGTGACAGCGGCCCTGGATGGCGATGATGTCAGCGGCAGACAGTAAGTAGCGGTCCTCGGTAGCGGTTTGGCCTAGGGGGCGGCAATGATATTGGCGGCCCAATGGTGAGTAAAGCGGCAGTCCGGCCCTAATGATGCACGACGGTGACAACGGCCCTGGATGGCGATGATGTTGCTAGCGGCCCTGAAAGGTGGCGGCTCTTGGTGTTGCGTTCGGCCTGGGGCGGCAATGATATTGGCGGCCCAATGGTGAGGAAGGCGGTAGTCCGGCCCTAATGAAGGACGACGATGACAACGGCCCTGGATGGCGATGATGTTGCTAGCGGCCCTCGTTAATGATAGTCGGTGGTGGTTCCTCGTTGTTGTCTTGGCCCAGGGGCGGCACTTAATATTGGCGGTCCGAAACGGTCACGGAAGTCACCTACGGAAGCTACGGAAGCTGTATGTTCTCACAAACCACCAACCTGTCCCGTAGGCAGAGCCAGGGGCGCTCGAGGTTACACGGCCTAATCCGTCCCGATGCGCTCCGTGCCTACCTACGGCAGCTTGGCCAGTCTGTATTCCCCCTGTGCAGAGCCAGGGGCGCTCGAGGTTACACGGCCTAAGCCGTCCCGATGTGCCCCGTGCTTACCCATTGGGGTGAGACGGTACGTATTCGATCGTGGTGGCTTGACATTGTGGGGCGGTTTTATCCACCGCACAATGCCCGCTCGCCACGCGGTATCTAAGTGGGCAGGAGAGTTCGTCTCCTGTCCACTGAGACCGTTGTTAAAATAATGGGTTTGAGGGTCTGTGCAAGGGGTATTCCCCCTTTCACAGGCCCCCCTCAACCTCTCGGCCTTGCCCGCAGGACAAGCCAGGGCGCTCGAGGTTACACGGCCTAAGCCGTCCCGATGCGCTCCGTGCTTACCTACGGAAGCTGGTGCTGGCTGAGTTGGCGTTAATCAACTTAAGTCGGTTGTTGTATAAGCAGGTTGAGAAGCGAATGAAGATCGTGATTTTTGGCATGTTTGAGCAACGAATTCTCGCGGAGTATTGGTGTGTACGAATGCTTTGCACTTTTGCATGCTTCCCTTTGGTACGTATGGGTGTATGTATGTATGGTTGTATGTATGCATGTAGCGTATGTATGGCTGGATGTGGATATGTATGTATGTACGTATGTATGTACTTGTGGGTTTTATGCATGTACGTATGTCTGTCAGTGTAGCGTAGGGGAGCTGTATATAAATATGTAGCGTATGTATGGCTGGATGTGGATATGTATGTATGTACGTATGTATTCAACATTGTGTTTCATGACATATATTACTTTCGAATCGGTAAGCGAAAGTGGGATCTAGTAACCTCTGTTTTCGAAAAAAATAAGAAATAAAAAAAAGTTATGAGAAATGATAAAAACTTATAAACTTGGTACCAACTTTGGATACAATTAACAACTGTATTCGTCTGATTGCCTCGTAGTTAAATTTTTGTTAAGATTTCTACCGAGTGTGGGGCGCACGCATGTGCTTTTTTTAGGAAGTTTTACTTCTATCGCGAGTACGAAGTGATTATCACAGCTGCATCCTTCAACCTGTCAACTCGCGGGAAATTCCCCGATTTCCAGGGAATTTCGGTTTCAGTGGCAATCGGGGAATTAGAAATTTTTTCGGGGAACTGGGTATGTTATTTTTATATCTTAAAGTAACCAAATTATACGGACATGTTAATTTTTAACCATTTGACCCTTTTTGGAGCGACATTTTTTCCATTTGAATCGCAGTATCTCCACAACAAGAGTTTTTCCAGATATAAGCTATATACCAGATGAAAGCTAAGGTTCTGGGCTAGATTTGTGGAAACTTAGAATAAAATCGACTGACCAGTTTTTGAGAAAATGCCCGAAATGTATATTTTCATCAGCTCGATTTTTAGTTTTTAATTGATAACGTTATGACATATTTATATTTTATAAACACAAAAATAGCGTTAGATAGCTTTTTTGAAGACCCTTCTACTGATATTCACATCAATGACATGGACTGAGTAGTGTGGCCTCAGTGGTAGTTTAAAAAATCGCCTTTTTTCGAATTTCAGGCAGCAGCCACGCCCACAAAGGCATACGAATCAAAACATCCTGGAACAAAACCTTCTTAGTTTTTTTTTTGTACTTTAATTCCTAAAAGTTTGAAAAAAATTAAATGATGGTACAGACGCCACATACATACCAAAGCATCTCGTAGTGGAGACACGAACCAAAACACATTTACCTCTATATCTTTCCAACTAGTAGCCGGAACTTAATATATAAGGTATCGTTTGAAAGGTATTGGCCTATAGAATAATACTAAACATGTTGGGTGTACCCACATGCCCCCTTAAACCGGCAAAAGCAAAAAATCGTTTTTTGTTTCGCAACACTTTAGCCTAATTTTTAAGAATCCGGATAATCGTTTATTAAGCTTGAATACATTTTCTGGACACACTCTGCAAGACCTTTCCAACGATATCTCAAACATGTCGATTGGACGTCTGGATACATACATACATATATATTACCACCATAATTCATATATTTGTGCATATCCTACATCCCTTCCAACCGAAAAGCATTTGCGAATGAAAAGCAGCGGACATTTTTTTGTCGATNGCAACACTTTAGCCTAATTTTTAAGAATCCGGATAATCGTTTATTAAGCTTGAATACATTTTCTGGACACACTCTGCAAGACCTTTCAAACGATATCTCAAACATGTCGATTGGACGTCTGGATACATACATACATATATATTACCACCATAATTCATATATTTGTGCATATCCTACATCCCTTCCAACCGAAAAGCATTTGCGAATGAAAAGCAGCGGAAATTTTTTTGTCGATCGCATTCCGAATGTGAGAGATGATAAATTTGTTTGCATTTTCCACTCGCGATAAAAGAGTGCAAAAATAGATTTCGAATATTATCGATCGCGATAAATGTCATAAATGAAAGAAAACGAATAATCATAAATGAGAATTTCCGAACCCTGCTCACAACACGCTCGACGCTTGTGACTTGTTTGCAATTTTTTTTTCAGAGGGTCTATGAAAACATGGTTTATCAACACCCATACTCCCCTCAACTTCTTTATCATCCATTACAGCATTCTCGGCTTCGGAGGAAGATGGAATGTTGGCTATTTCATTATTGAAGCCTAGCTCGAAGGTCGACTCTGAAGGTTTTCCACCCATGTTATTTAAAAAGTGCTCTACAGCATTAGCTTATCCTATATCTCTTCTTTTCCAAAACTGCTTAGATAAAGGACTTTTCATCGACCAATGGAAGTTATGGTTTATTACCCCGATTTCTAAATCTGGTTATCCCAATAATGTCTGTAACTATAGACCTATAGCTAAACCATGTACGTTAGACAAATTATTTGATCAAATAATCCAATCGAAGTTATTTGATCATGTAAGGGTTTTAATATCCAATAGTCAGCATGGATTTTCTACCGGTAGATCAACCTGCTCCAACTTAATTCTCTTAACTAATAAGATAATTAAAGCTATTGAAAACCACGCTCAAGTTGATGTCATATTCACAGACTTTTCCAAAGTCTTCGATAAGTCAACACAGTCAGGGCTATCACAGAATCCATCGTAGCTTCGATTTTCGTGAAATCTACGAAAGTGCTATCACAGAATCCGAATAGCTACGAACGTAAATTCGAAATTCGTAGAGAGCCTTTATTGAATCAGTTCGTAATGAAGATTCGTACAGATACTCTACGACGAGTTTACGCTGTCGGAGCAAAATATAAAATCTCTGAATCTTAAAAATAATGAAAAAAGGTGCATTATTGTTAATAATAAATATTTATTATAATCCAAATTTGTTTTAGTTTGATGTAATTCCATATATTTATGTAAACGTAGACGTAAAATACCAATGCCATACATACATTCATCTGCTAGACGCTATTTAATTAATTAATATTTTTTTTATGAAGCGAGGAAATTCTAATAGTTTAACAACGATTTACATATTAGGAAAGAAACCTTATTACTTTCCTCATCATGTTGGTCTCCTTGCCGTGGGGATGGGGCTTAAAAGAAAATCTAAACCTCCGCTCTGGGGACTTAGATGATCATGAACTAAGAGGGAAGCTTGATATGACTGCCTGGATGGCCACTCGTCTTGTGTACCCGCAAGGTCTGCACGGGATGAGCGGCCTCCCCTTGCGCCATGTCAAGATCACCGCACCGACGCTACAATCCCTCTCCTGTCCCACAAACACCCAATTCCTGCCCTAGCCACCATCCCTTTGCCCCCTAATCCAGGGTGTTACGCGCAACCGTGCCTATTGGATGGTTTGCAGCCAGGGGTGTACGGCTGTATTCGTAAGGTGCTCTCCTGATACCGGGTCGCCTCAGGAGGTAGAATGGCCTTACTACGGCAGAGGGGACTGCCGTAGTCGACGTTCCCCCTCTCCCTATACAAATTTCTGGGTCTGCCGCGCTTGCCTGGGCGAGCAACGCAGACGATTATGAATGAATTAATTAATAACAAAAACCCCGCCTCGGATAAACGAGGTCTTCTCAAAAAAAAACCGACCTAGCCCATCGGGCCGGTCCTGCCAATCTTTGGCAAAATATCCCTTTGGAGCCAAGCCTGTGGCAAAGCCCGGGTCTAGCTCCACTGTGTCCCAACCGGGGCAAGCCTGCACGGCGGAAAGGTCCCAAGCGGATCTTAAAAGCACCAACACCACCCATGCCCTCAGGCAGGATGGTGGTGATGCCTCGATAGCCGCTGGAGGTGGACAGGCTGTCATCTCGGACACTGTCTCAAGACAAGTCAAGGATGGCACCCTCTCCACCTCAAGTGGCGGACTCGACGCTATGGCAAACCTTGCCAGTCTTCCTTCGGGAAGCTCTGCTGGCCATGTCCAAAGACAAGCCAGTTGTGCTGTCCCCTCCCCAGCTGCGGTTCCTCCCAAAAAAGGAACATCGGCTTCGACGTTTGCGGAGTCGGCTCACATGACCAAGTCAGTGAATCCCGACGCCAACCTTTTAGGCTGTACGCCAAAACCCCCTTCCAAAGCAATAGGAACCTCTGAGAGAAACTATCACACCAGAAGATCAGCTCTGCGTATCATCGATAGGCTGAAAGATGTCAAGCAAGAGGACTTGACAGACAAATCAGCTCGAAAGCTTGGACAGAATCTTTCCTGGAGATTCACCGAGAGAAAGCTAAAGCAGGCCTCCAAAAGCGGAAGCGCTCCGAGGAAGAAACAACGACCTCGGGGAAGAGAAAAAGGCCTTCTAACACCCAGATGGCTGCGTATAAGGAGCCTAAAAAATCCTTTACCGATGCGGAAAGGGAATCGCTTGTGCGTGCTGTGATCGATCGGAATGCCCTTGATGGTGGGATCACGCAGCAAAATTGGGACCTGGTAACCAGGAAGCTGTGGGCGGTATATAGCGAGGTTCTCCGTGATAACGTAGGACCTCCACCCTGATGCTCAGACGCGGGTTGGTTACGGGGTGTCAAAATGATCAAGTGCGCTGATGAGAGATCTGCGCAGCTCTACAAGGCCGCAATCAATAAGATTGGGGAGCCCTGGCCAGGTGCACGACTAAATGTCGTGAAGAGGGAAGAAATTCCAAATCGCCCAAGATCCAGGGCATGGATCCCGGAATACCATGACGATCCGTCGGAGGTTCTGGGCTACATTCAGTTAGGCAATCCAGAGATTCCAACTCACGATTGGAAAGTTGTAAAGCTGGAAGATCCAATTGGCAAACGAAGAGTAGCGGTGGTTGTCCTCAATGAGGAATCACTTTCACCCCTCTCCAATCTCAACTGGAGGATCAACTACGGCTTCCAAGCCTTGACCCTCCATGTGTATCGACAGGATATGTCGAAGAATACTCCCACCGCGGAAACAGTTGGGGCCGCCGGGGAGGAGACCGAATGCCCTAATGACTGCGAAGTCGCGTCTAGCTGCGACACGATGAGTGAGCTCTTTGAGCGAATCGCCGTCAACGATGGGTCGGACGACACCGGATCGCTGACTGATACACTTGGCGATGACGAAGAGGACGTTCCTCCATTACCCGAAGACGCCAATTGTACGGTCATTGGGCAAAGTGGCGTCAGCCGCACTACTCCTCCGTCTCGCTCAAAGAGAAGAGGAGATCGTGCTCATCCAAGAACCTTGGGTCATCAAAGATCGGGTTTGCGGCCTGAGCAGTAAAGATTATCAGCTGATCTACACAAGTGATAGAGGTAAACCAAGGTCTTGCTTATTAGTAAAGAAAAATATTAATGTCTGCTCTCTGATACAATTCAGCGATGCAGACACCACAGTAGCCATACTGGAAACCTGCGGAAGGAAAATTTGGCTTGCCTCGAGCTACATCGCACATGACAAGCCAGCCCCGCCAGCACTAGTCATGAAGACGGCAATTGGGCGAACACCGCTAACGTCCCGTTAATCACTGGAACAGATGCGAATGCCCATTATGATATATGGGGCAGCTCAAACACAAACGATCGAGGTGAGTTCCTTCTCGAATTTTTACTAAGCAATAATCTTAGAATATGCAATATTGGGGATTTTGTAAATTCTGGCATGTGTACTAACTGGCATGTGTCCGGGGAAAACTCATTCTCCGATCACATGTACATTAGCTTTAAATTAAACATCTCGATTTGTGCGCCTAGAGCGTTCGTAAACCGCAGACGAACAAACTGGGAGGTGTTCAGACGCTGTCTAATCAGATCTTTGCGTGAAACCTCTGGAAATCTCGCGAGTACCCAAATGGTAGACTCAGAAGTGGAAGGGTTCACGAAAGCTTTTCAAAGAGCTACAAAAGCAGCATGTCCCAAAATAAAAAGGAGAAAGCAACGACCACAATGGTGGTCGCATGAAATAATGAACCTACGGAAGGAATGCAGGATGAAATTTAATCAAGCGAAAGCGTCTAATGTGTGAAACGAATACAAGGACTGCCAACGCAGATTCAAATATGCTGCCAGAGCTGCAAAACGCTCCTCCTGGGGGACTTTTTGCCAAACGATAGAAAGCAACTCGGAGGCAAATCGTTTACGCAAGATCCTTTCGAAAAACTCAAGCGCGCCTAGCTACCTGCTCAAAGGGAATGATGAATGGAAGAGCAGCAGCTCCGAAACGCTTGAGCTCCTCATGCAGACGCACTTTCCTGATTGTTCCGACACCAGAGGATCGAACAATTTACAGATCACTGCCCCAAACGGGGGAATCCCTCTTATTACTATTTCTGATGGGGACATCAAGGAAGCTATTTGCAGCTTCTCGCAGCTTCTCGCCCTTCAAGTCACCCGGGCTCGATGGTATCCTACCCATCGATCTTCAGAAAACAATGGATATAGTTATTTCAAAACTAAAGACTATTTATAGAGCGGCCATCAGCCTCGCCTATATACCACAGAGATGGACGCAGGTAAAAGTTGTATTTTTCCCCAAAGCGGGTAAATCTTCGCACACCAAACCCAATGAGTTCAGACCAATCAGCCTCTCGTCCTTCTTACTGAAGTCACTAGAGCGCATATTGGACACCCAAATTAGGGAAATAGTTGGTCCAAAGCTCTCTACTGCCCAACATGCATACAACAAAGGAAAGGGTGTAGATACAGCACTACACAGCCTTATCTTTGACATTGAGAAATCTTTGTACTACAAAGAGTATTCTCTATCTGTCTTCTTGGACATTGAGGGTGCTTTCAATAATATCAGTCCGGATGCAGTTATTTCACCGCTCCAGGAACTTGGACTTTGCAACACGTTGATAGCGTTTGTCAACAATCTCCTCCGGGATCGGGTAATAAACTCAGACCTAGGGGACGCCGCCGTCAAAAAGTACGCGGCAAGGGGAACCCCCCAGGGAGGTGTACTCTCACCTCTACTATGGAACATTGCCGTTGACAGTTTGCTGAAAGAAATAGAAAGAAACGGCGGCATAGTGGTAGCCTACGCCGATGATGTTGCCATTACGGCTACAGGTAAACATTTAGCAACCCTGGCTTGTCTCATTCAAGGTATACTAAACAATCTCTCGCGATGGTGCAGAAATCGTGGTTTGGGAGTAAATTCCACAAAATCAGAACTCGTACTGTTCACAAGGAAACACATCTGTCCATCTCTCGGAAATGTCACTTTGAATGGCGCCACACTACAGAGAACTGATCAGGTTAAATATTTAGGTCT